ATATATATCAACGTACAGTTTAATTTCATGAATGGAAATCTTTGAATCTGTGGTCGAATGAATGGTTTTTCCTTGGATGGAAATTTGCTAAATTTATTTATTTTTTCGATTAATTAAAATTTTCCTCTTCTATGAGTAAATTGAATGGATTATATGAAATATACTTATCTCGTATAAAAACACTCATAAATTAAATGTAAATTAATTTCTCAAGATAGAGACACGTGACGAATTTAAATAAAAAATTAATGAATTCTTATTCTATATTATCTCTCGTTATTGTTCTCAATTTATCGGAATTTAATATTTATATATTTGCGGAGTCGTGACCTCTTAAATCAAATTCAAAAGAATACAAAGGGATTGATATTTTTTATATGAGATACTGATAAATTCAGAAAGATTTTTCTAAAATTTTAAAATTTCATTTAGAGATAGGAGCATTTAATATACAAACTTTGTTTCACATTTTAGAAATGCTAATTAGATAAAAGAATTAGAAAATAAGAATAAATAAAATAGAGAAAAAGAAAAATAGAAAAAAGTGGAGGTAGAACAAAGAGGGAAAAATATATAGAAATCTTTCTGAAATTAAAATATAATTAGAAAATATATTAAGGAAAGGCTAAAGATTAAAGATTGGTTAACGTAATAAAAAAAAGAACGCAGGACATATTAACCTATATATATTCAAGATAAAGTAAAGATTTCGATACGAGAGAAACCGGTTTTGTAGTCTCGAATTCCTTCTATTTCTTTCAAATTCATTTTAAAAATAAAATTATTCCTTCCTTTTGCCACATCCACATTTTAAAATTCTTTCAAAATTCAAAAAAATATCACAATATATAACTATCATTATTTTAAAAATAATTCTACTTTGTCTACAAAATTTAATATTTACTCTTAGGATGAATTTATTTATTCGATCATTATATCTGTTAAAAAATTCAGATCTCTCTCGAGTTTTTATATTTTAGCTCGTATTGTTTTTATCATTAAATTTGTAAATTTAATTTAATTTACAAACTTATTTAATTCACGCTTTTGTGATTATTATATAACATCTGTTCGTTTTTTTTTTTTTTTTTTCTTATTTTTATATTATCTCTGTTTTTTTGTAACATGTTTCATACCGATATATATATATATATATATATGTATAACAATTAAAGTAACAAGTGTAACACGATGATCAAATTTTATTAAGTTAAGAAAATATTTCTTCTGTGCCCATTATTCCTTTCACTATTGTATCCATACAGATTACATAAATCTTAAAAGATTGATTTGTGCGTGTTCTATGACCTATAATATTTATTATCGCATTATTATTATCATAACAATATTTAAAATCGATAATACAGTTAATATCGTATACCATATTCAATTTTAATAATAAACAATATATATAATTTTAAGAGAATCAATCATATACACCCTATTATCGCGTTTATTTTACAAATAGATTTCATGGTTACGATTAACACGTGATCCAACGCATCGTCAGTCTATCTCTGGCTTTCGAGAATACAAAAGAGAATTGAACTCCGAGTTCAACTTTAATTTAATTTTAATTTCTTTTGAAAACAGATATAAACGAGCATAAGTGTTATCGTTCGTATTCTTCTCTCAAGATTGGTAATTCATTTCGAGAAAGATTCACGTATTCGTGAAAATTTTATTTTTTAACCTTATTGTGAGTGATTACATCTCAGAGTGAAAAAGTGATTTTAATTTTAATTAAAACTAGGAAATCTTTTATCGGTCCATTCTATTGTCGAGACAAGAAATTTTTAATCTCTAATATTATTAATGTTTTAAACATTTTTAAAAAGTTTTTAAAAACGATCTATTTGTCTTAATATAAATTGATTGGTTTATATAATAGTTTATATAACGATATATTTTTTGCAATAGATGTTACTGACTTATCTTTAATTATATCGATTTTCCTTGTTTCGTTTATACGTATAAAATTGTTTTCTCGAATTGATATTAGTGTAATATTCATTCATAAACGAAGAAATTGAAAGAAATCAATCATAAAAATTAATTCGAGTTAAGAATTTTTAATAAATCGATAAATCGTAATCAAAGAATCGTTTTCCTCAAAATTCTATACAAACTATTTCCTAAATATATTATAATGAATTAAAAAAAAAAAAAAATAGTTAAGAAATGTTTTACGGTAGAATGCAATGTTATTCCTAACAGTGCCATTTATAAATCAAATTAACGAGATATTCTATCACGAATATTTAAAGAGTCTAATGCTAAAATGTATTTGGCGTATAAACTTGAAATTTAATTATCGTATTCTCGATAAATATTTTTCTAATATTTTTTTCCTTCTTTGATATTCATTTCTTCAATCTCTTATCTCTAAGAACATATTTCTATCATTATTAATAATGTTATCGACAATCACCTCTTGAAAAATGAATCGTTCCTTATTATCGAAACATCACACAAATAAATAAAAAAAGTATCCACGTGAAATGTAATTTTATAAATCAAAATCACCAGTCATCGTTATTATCTCATCTCGTGCAAACGTGAGAAAGAAAATTCAAAGAATTTCTTCACGTCACAAGTATATTCTCTTTTTCCATTTAACGAAGAGCGAAACGTCATGTTACCCCACCTTGCCGCTTCAACTTCTATCTTGGCGCTCAACACAATTAACACAGTAGCAATCCTATCTTGAATTTCGAAGCATCGATTCTCATTCGGTATCGAATCAACAAGTGATCCAATAACACTTTTCCAAATCAACCTGTCCGATCTTTCTAACCATTCTAAGTGGATTCATTTAATTATATTTTAATATAAAATTTATATGAAAATTCTCGTGATTCAGAATCATCGGAGGTGATTATCGAAGAAGAAGAAGAAGGAGAAGAATCAAAGTGCTCGATTGTAGTCAGAATCACAAGTTCATTCATTTAAAGAAGAGAAGGAAGATTAAATTGGAAAGAAGCGACACAATGAGATTGCTATTATCCATTTGTCTGGCGATATTAGCGTGTGGTTGGTCCGACTCTTTGCGAATTCTTGCCCTATTTCCAATAACCGGAAAGAGCCACTGGTTAATGGAGGAACGGCTGATGGTAAAATTGGCGGAACGAGGCCATCACGTGGACATTTACACCCATTTCCCCATAAAAAATCCACCCAAGAATTACAATCAATATTCATTGGAGGGATCGTTACAAATCGCGGTGAATAATATTACCGCGGATAATGTAACAAACTTTGGTAACGTGAATGTGGCAATGATGACCTATTTAATGGGCGATCAATTGTGCGATTTAATGAAACATCCTCACTTTCAAAATCTGATAAAAAACCCTCCTGAGAAACCGTACGATCTTATCGCGACAGAGGTAAGGATATTTGTCTAATTTTATCTCGTATTATATGCAAAACAATTTATTTATAAGTGAATTTTGTTTTTTCAAGTATTAAAAAAAGTATTTTAATGGGATTAGAAATTATATCAAAAATAAGATTTCATTTATTCAAAACTTGTGAGCCATTTTCGTGTCATATTTTTACTTGTTTAAAACTTATTCGAAATTGTTGGATCAACAGGAGATTCTTGAGATTCTCCAATTCCAAACAACACTTTTCTTTGCAAATATTTTTGCTCGCGATTTTTGTTCACACGATTCTGTTCGCACGTTATTAAAATAATCGTTAAAATCACACTATTACACAATATATGAATAATATGTTTAAGAAAAAATTTTGTATTCTCCTTTTATTTTAATTTAATTTCTAATTTAATTATAAATTCAATTAGAATTTTCAGTATCAAATGATATATCATTGAAATAATTTAACTATACGTATAACTTTTTACGTATAACATAATATAGAAAATCTTATATCATATATCATCTCTTTTATGAATCATCGATATTTTAATTAACATAATCAGAAAAAATTAAATGCAACAGTGGAATGCATTCTGAAACGCGTCATTGAAAACATTATTATTTATATTATTAATAACAATTCATTACCTCTTCTATACCTCTGAATAATTATCATACATGAATAACTATTTAACTTTTTTTCTTTAATTTAAAAAATTAAAAATGTATTTATCTTAAAAAAAAAAAATATTAATTAATTAATAAAAAACTGATCTCGAAATAATTCCAATATATTCTTCTCTTTCTTCCAGTTGTTCATGTCACCATGCTATTTGGCATTCGGCACTTATCTAAAAACACCCGTGGTCGGTATGATAACTGCCAGTTTCTTAGACTGGGTAAGCCACAGAGTGGGAAATCCGATAAATTTAGCTTTCACGCCCGGTATATTCTCTCCATTCACAGAACGGATGACCTTCTGGGAAAGATTGCAGAATACGTTCACAACCAACATGATCATGCTGAACATTGACTACTATGTAAACAAGCAAAAAACTTACGTGAAACAATATTTGAATATAGACGCAGAGATACCTGAATTGTACAAAAATCTCGCGCTCATCCTTGTCAACTCTCATCACAGTATAATAGGTGTCCGTACTGGTAGTACTGGTGTCATCGAGGTTGGAGGATTACACATCAAAGAGAATGGAGATCCTTTGACACCGGTGATTATCTTTTCTGAATATTTTTTATTGTTTCAGTTTTCTTGGTTTGTTCAATGAAGAAAGAAAGAAAGAAAAAAAAAAAAAAGGAAAAGAAGATCTAAGTAAGATCTAGTAAGAACATTAGAGGCATTGAGAAAATTGTACTGTGTAGAGGAAGTACATTCCAAGTTTAAGTTTTTGAATAACTTTAAAATTTGATTTGATAAAAGAAATCAAATTTTGTATTTGTTATTCCGAGAGATCTTAAAAAAATTTTAAAAGATAGAAGTAATTGCAATATCATAATTAAATGCTAGGCTATAAAATTTTGTATAAAGTGTAACACTTGAAGTTTTTATCGGGAGCTTAGAAGAGGAATAGAAGCTTGTCGTTGAAAAAGTAATAATAATCTTGAAGCGTTATTAAGATGATCGACCGGGATTATGATGCAACGTGCAATTACCGTAATGCATTCGAAGTTGTAGAAAAGCTTAGCGCCCTCTGAACACGCGACTATACATAATCGCTTCTGTCTTTTAATACTTTTTTCGAAGAAAAATTCCTCACACCGATTTATATTGAAAAATATTCTATTCTTATTGCGCCAACAGGAAATGAAAAAATGGTTGGACGAAAGTACGCACGGTTGCGTGTATTTCACGTTCGGCTCGATGGTGAGGATCGAGACATTCCCTAAATCCTTGCTGGAAACATTCTACAAAGTTTTCAAGAGGATCGCGCCTGTTCGAGTAATGATGAAGGTCGCGAGAAAAGAGGATCTACTCCCTGGACTGCCAAAGAACGTGATGATACAACCTTGGTATCCCCAAGTATCTGTTCTCAGTACGTATAATTAAACAATCTTCTCAATCAATCAACAATGAACTCGTTTGAAAAGTCTTCTAAAAAAAGACCATCCATTAAATATCATCAAAGTTTAAATATCACACGAGTTTCAAGTTTTTCTTCGCGTTAAATTGTAATTATTATTAATTTGCGTAATTCGAAAATGGAAGAGTACGAGATTGCACGGTCCATTTTTTTTTTTTTTTCTTAATTTTAATTCTCTTCTTTGAATTTCAGAACACGAAAATCTCAAAGCGTTCATCACGCATGGAGGACTGATGGGGACGCAAGAGGCGATCTACTTCGGAATCCCATTGATTGGAATCCCACTTTTCGGCGATCAAAGCTTGAATCTTCAAAACATGGGTAGGAAAAACGTAGCTGTGAATCTTGGCTCGTTGCACAATGTCACGGAAGAAAACTTGTACCATGCGCTTAAAAATGTTTTGCACGATGAAAAGTACAAGTATGTATGTTTCTCTCTAGTGAAAATTTTATTTTTTCCAATTTATATTATTCAAGGGAGTCGAGAAATAATTGTCCATAAATGTGAAAGGAACACAATCTGATTTTCTTGACACGTGACATCGATTAAGAATTGAACAAGACGTTTGAACTTTATATTTTCTATTTTATAAGTGGCTAAAAAGACATTTGTTTCGACTTCAACTTTTCATTTTTCCACTTTCTCTCCTCTTCGCGGTACACATTTTTCTACTTTATATAACTAATAACGTTCTTTCCAGATGCCATTTTCGTTTAGCTCGCCATTTCTACTTTCCTGTGTTTCATCGTCCTTCTTGTTTCTATCTTTCTTATTATCATTTTGATTGTGAAGATTTCGTGTTTCATCACATTGCAGTGGTTTTGTTGATTTTTTAATTAATCAAGCTTCGTTAAACAATTTTCAACGGTTATCAAGAGAGCATTATTATTTGTCGGCCATCTCGTAATTATTGAAAATAAGAGAATGAATTTTGAGAATTGAAAACCTCTACTTTGCACTTCAATTTCAGATCTTATCGTTAAGATTTCTCGAGATATGTGTTTATCTTATCTTTTAAACGTAAAATAAACTTAACAAACAAACTTAACGTTTAAAATTATCTCTCTATTTCGATTTTTCATTTCCACGTTATCTTTCGTTAATGTTTATTTCGATTAACAAATTTCCAGATCGAATATGAAGAAATTGTCGGAACTGTTCAAGGACAGACCCATGACAGCCCTCGACACCGCTATTTATTGGGTAGAATACGTGGCGAGACACGGATACATCCTGCAGTCATCGGCCATAGACCTCAACTTGTTTCAACAGTATCTTTTAGACGTTTATGGATTCATGCTTCTGTGCGTGGTGACAGCTCTCTATCTCGTCATTTTCTCGATTCGGAAAGCGAAGAACTTTGTATTCGGACATAAATCTTGTCCTTTCAAGAAAAATCAATCGAAAGAAGAAGATTCGAAGAAGAAGAAGTGAATTAAATGTGTATCTTAAGAATGTATATTTTATATATGAATGTATATAATGTTTTTACGTATGATTTCACTTTTTTACGTTTATCTACATAAATATATTTACTTATGTAAATGATAATTAGTAAAATATTTTTTTTCAAATATTCTATAAATATATATTAATTTTAATTAACTTTTTCTTTGTGTCTTTTAACTTTCTGATCTTGAACGTTTAAAATTATATCCATTCGAGATGTTGTTTTTTCCTTTTCCTTCTTTCTTTTTTCATTTCAGAGCAATATTTATACAATTTTCAGACTGGAAATTGTGATTGGAAAAAAAATTAAAAATACGAAATTCGTAAATTTACCAGAAAATTATTTACAATAGAATAAATATTCGTTTCACTGAACACCATTATATATCATAATTTTTATCGTTAATTAAATTATTATCGACAGACCTGGCCACTCGTGAAATCATTCAACCACTTATGTGAAATTTTTGAGTCCCTCGATTATTAATTACCAATTATCGTCAACGTTCAAACGTATTTAATTAATAAATTAAGTTGCAAAAAACTTTTGAGACTAGTTTCGCAATAATATAAATTTTTTTCACGGAAAAATTCCTTCACATCTCTATATTTTAATAATGCATTAACAAGTATTTTAAAATATTATTAAAATGTCACGTCCTTTTATTTCATCTAAAATATATCTTCGAAGAAGAGGAGGAAAAATATATTTAAAATTACAATTCAAAGTTACCAAGTTTCAAATCTTTTCCAATAAATTTCACGATGAATGCATTTACTTTATTTTAAAAAATTGCGATTTATCCTATTTGACTATAATATCCAATTCTGATATATATATATATATATAATCTAATTATCTGGTTATTCTGTTCTGTATACGCAAAAATTTCAAGGATTCTCGTTAGATTTATATAGGTGTCAAGAATATATTGGAATATCGTACCTGGTGGCGGGGTTGAATTCATTGCTTGCAGCTGGAAACATTCTTGCTCCCTTTCCATTATTATTCGATGGACTTCCTCGTCCGGAAGTGTGCTGCCTGCTGTCGCGTTCACAGGCATCTGGAACAAATTTTATTTAAAAGATATTATCTGTCCTTGAGGGGAAATTGAAAACAATGATCGAAATAATGCGACAACCAACCTTTCACCACGAGTTTTAACAACTATTCGAAATTTGCACAAATTTTTATTCGATATTTATCTTTTTCTTCTCGTTTTCGTAAATTTTTAAAAAACTAATATATACCGATAAATCGCTACTCGTCAACGTTTAATTATTTTTGAATCCTTCTGTCCTTTCATTTTCACTCTGCATATTTTCGTTCTTGCAAACGAAAAGAATTTAAAAAAAAAAAAAAAAGAAAAAATTACGTTTCAGAAATACGATTTTGGTATATAACGAATGCAAGAAGTTGTATATTGATCTAAAAATAAAATTAGGTCGTATAGATTTGAAACACAATAGAAAGGTTGATACAATAGAAGGGTTGACGTATTAACGATTTTTAATATGTAGCGTTTGATTCAGCTATATATATTAATAGGGCTATATATATCGATAAATTGATCTGAAAAGAAAAGAGATACGTGTGAAATAGCCATGATTTTCGGAAATGATGTTAGAATAAATGAATGAATTACAAGAGCAATTCTTAATACAATTCCGATTTTAACAATATTAAAATAATAAAAGGATCAATGAAAAGTCTACTAGTTGAAGTCAAAGGGGTTGGAAAACGAGAGTAAAAAAATTAAATTTCGTAATCTCCAGTTTCTCGATCGATCTTAATGGGCGAACAAAATTTATCGTTGTCGAACTTTAATTAAAATGAATGAATCACACGAATTTCGTTTTTGTTATCCTTTATACCCGATCTTTGAAACAAGGGACCATCTCTGGGAATATTTTAAAAAAATATAAAACACCAAAGTGTTTGGACGCGTGAAGAATAATTAGATCCCGCGTGGAAAATTGTTGGAAAATTGAAATAGATGCCAACGCGGGAGCGTCTACGATTTATGAATGGAGATCGTTTCAATTGATAGAGAAGCTTGTAATAACTTCATTGGAAGGCGAGTTATTGCGTCCATTCGAACGACGGGACAGGAAACAATAAGTAACGTTTTACTGTGCTCGATTCCACAGAGAAATCACATCAATGCACGTTCTCTATGCTTGTCCTACATCTTTATATATAGTCGAAATTATATTTTGTTAATTATCGTGGACAGAAATATTTCCTTTTTTCCATTATTTTAATGCGACGTAAAGAAAATAAAACGTGTTACATCTCTTAATAAATGAATGTAACGAACAAGTTGTAACGACGGAAGTATTAGCATTTCAAATTGCTTAATTATAAGAATATTTTTATTAGAAATGTTAGAGAATGCGCTCAAGATGAGAGTGAAAATTAGTCTTTTAGTTGGAAAAAGAAAGAATTATATTAATAGTAAATAGAATTGCAGAGGATTTTCACTTTGTTCGGTGGAGAAACGAAAAAAGAAGCAATGTTGAATTAATTCTACAGACAGCGAGAAAAGTTAATATAAAGTAAAAGAAAAATAATTTACCGTTTTTTCAATCTTGAGGCGGGTCACTTAAATATCCGGTGAATGTAAGGCGCGCGTGCAAAGAATCGAGACTAGAAAGAAAAATAAAACGAAAAGATTAAAGAAAAAGAAACAATCGAGAAAAATGACAGGTGCTAACTGAAAATCAATATCCATAGTTCGCTTCTTCTCGATTCCTCAACGATACTTTAAGAATTCTTAACGAGATCTTGATCTCTTTCTAAAGTGAGCACCAACCCTCGAATTCGTGAAAAATATTTTTTTTTTTTGATAATTTTCACTCCTCGTTCTTTATTTTTCGAATTTTTTAATATACGATTGTGCAAATAATTTCTTTAAATCAGTTACGCTTGTTGAAAGAAATTAACCCTCATACGAAGCTTTTCTTTTATTTTAAAAATTGTACTCACTCTTTAAAAATGTTCTCACAACTTTTCGACAGATAAATAAATAAATATCACGTACTTTTTCCTAAAAATAATTGTCTCTCTTAACAATTTTTCACCAAAAAAAAAATAATAATCAAACATTTCCCTAAAAATATGACGAGTCATCATCTCGAAAAAAGAAACGTAACTTTTAAAAGTTGAAGTCAAATTTCACCACGTGTCTCAATTCAGATTCATCGATCTCCTCTCTCGATGAACAAAAGCTTCTCCATAGAAATAGACGTGGTCACCGTCGTCGAGCTGTAGAACAGTTTCGAGAATTCTCGAGACCACGTTTCTGTCTTCTGTGCACGAAACTTTCGAAACGATCGATCGCGAAAATTCAACAACAAGTTTCAAACGTTGCGTTCCGATCGCTTTCCATTTCGAATTCGCGCGGATGGGAAAAAGCATAAACACAATTCGTGAAACTATAATTTCTATAAACGGCTTCATCCAGAACTGTTTCTCGCGCGGAATTCAATTTGCCAGACGTTTGAAATTTATCGTCGATATGTAATTTATATGCTTGCAGAGAATCGGCTGGTTTTGTTAATGGAATTTTCGAAGTGAAATTTGGATTTCCCAGACAATACTCTTATTTCCTTTTCTACGATCATTTTTTTTTTTTTCGTTCTATTTCAATGTGATTCGATCACATTTATGAAACAAAGTCTGTCGACAAATAACAAATCGATATTAGCATTATTTAATGCAGATTATAAAATAGAAGAATTGCGAGGCAATATATAGAAAAATCACGTTTCAAATGTTATGTGTTTTAATTATTTAATCTTTTTATAAATACTCTCCTTTCGTTCCCTTGAAAATAACACGCTAAGCAAATTAAGAAACTCTGTTCTATGGCCTTTATGCGGTGGAATAAACTAAGTGGAATGGAAACCGGAAATGTTAAAGCGTATTTAAGAACAAAAGGAGCATCGCTTGAAACGGAGAAAGGAGATTCTTAATGAACAGCGATCGCTTTCCGCTCAAATTATCTTTGAAAGATTCGTTTCGATTGTATATCGAAATGATTTATTCGCTTATTTATAAAATAAAATTTATTCCATTGATCATAAAATGAAAATATAATATTGGGTAAGAACGAACCGGCTTGTCTTGGAAGAAATTTTCGTTAAATTGTAGATATATTCCGACGAAGCGAGAAACGGTTTAATTAAATGGAGTATAATTAATTTTCGCGACGAAACGAAATAATTTCCACCTGTAAAAAGAATTATTGTAAGAAAAATTATCGTAACCGTGTAAACCGATGGAAAGAACTATTGCGCTTTCCTTGAATGTTGTACAAGTTTTATATTCGCACTTGCATGCCACATGTGTTCCAATTTTGTCATCACGTCGTTGTGGCAAGTCGTTGGTGCACGGAACGAAGAGAGAGCGCGCGGTAATTAATTATCCCGTCACCATTTCGCATAACAACATTGGAACTTGCTGCACCATTATCAAAAGATAATAAAAATAAGAATGATAAAAGATAGAAAAGTAGGAAAAAAGAAAAAAAAAAAAAGGACGTTGATGAATCTTAACAAAAACTCTACTCTTCCTCTCTTGTGCGAATTAATTTTAAATTTCTCTTTCTCTTTTGTGTCGATGAAATGTATTTAAATGCCAGTCGAGTAGATTTAAAAAAAAAGAAAGAAAAAGAAATAAAAAATTTTCATGCAAATAAAATTGAAAGAAATGAAAGTTCAGAGCGAATACGGTATAAAATATATTGAACAATGCTCTACAATGCTCTACTTGTTCGATCGTTGTTCAACTTTCATTTCGCGTATCTTCGTTACTTGTTGTCATCTCGATTTCTTATCTAATTATCTTCGATTCAAAATTCTTTATTATATATTTAAAAAATTTACATACACACTTTATATATTTCCATTATTATTATTATTATTATTATTATCAATTGCTTAACACTTAAATCCTTTACTACTACGCTTAAAAACTGCTCTCCCAATTTTCACACAAACAAAAGAAACATCGTCGAGGACTGCACGACGACTGCGTTCCCGATTGAAACACGTGAACATGAGCATATACATATCTAAACAAACGCGTACATCCATCCTGTGGAATGACGCTTGGCAAACATTAATGTGTTTCAAGCGACAACCGCGTCAGACGTTCCTCCGGGGAATACGAGGGATTCGAATCGTGGTCGAGCACACGATAACTGTGCGGATCGGAACTGTTGGCAAATCGTCGGATAAGTGGAATCTCGTATTCTCGTATTCCTAACGCTTGCAAATCTATCCTGTCGCCAATTACAATACAACTTTGATCCTCGATTGCTCGAAGTAATTTGCAAAATTAATGTTTTTCCTTCTCTTTTTTTTCACTTTTCGTTTTTTTTTTTTTTGGTTTCGTTAAACACATCTCCTTCTCTTCTTTTCAACACTTTGCTTCTCCATCAACGCTTGATATCATCGAATCACGTTGAACTATGACGAAGCATATTTTCTCTCCCCGATAATTCTAGATCATTTTAATCGGAACGATCGATAATCGATAATAAAAATTTAAAAAAAGTTAAAGAACAAGCTCTGCGATCCGTGACGAAAAATTGCCCTTTTGTAATTTTACATTGATCGATCGAACGCAGTTATCGATACAGGTATCGATACGTGTCACGCGAATAAACGTCATTTACACAGCATATGCATATTCAAAGACGGCACGAGTCTGGTTCCATCTGATTTTCTAGCGTAACTACAAAACCAGACCGAGCAACACCCAGTTGGCTACATCCTGTTTTCCACAATATCGATCGAATTGGCGACCTAATCGCCACGGTTCACGCATGCATCTTTGATGGATGTTCATATATATTCTCCGATTGTTGCGATTCACGCGATAACACTTGCCGCGCGTGTATCATCGCGGAAATCGAACAAGAAGGGGGGGGGGGGGAAGGGGAGAGAAAGGTCGTTGTATCGTTGCTTTCGAAGTATAGAAAAAAAGATTTTTTAATATTTTTTTTTTTATATCGATTAAAAATTAGGAGCAACCTAATCTGCGGATCACCTTGATAATTTCATGATGATTATTTTATATTTTACGATTATTTTATATTTATGTTAGAAAAAAACGGAACAGTGTTGAAAAAATCAGTGTTGAAAAATATATTTTTAATTCGAACGAAAATTAAAACTGACAGACAGGGATTATGGATTACATTTATGGATTAAAAAAGTTTCTGAAAAGATTATTAAAATCGGTAAGCAAGCTTTCCAATAAGTTAACCTAAATTCGATATTAATATGTTGATTTTAGATTAAAATTGTAAACTTCTCAGGTTCTATTCTATTACGTAAATTTCTTATTTACGCGCGAGGGTAATTAGAATCCTGTTAAAAATAGCGCATAAGAAAATTCATTTTCGAAAAGTCTTTACAAGACGATAATGATGATAATGAAAATAAGGAAAAATATCTTGGAAAACTAAACGAATTTAATTACGAGATCGAATATAAGCTAATATTCTGTCTATCTAATTAATAATAATGAGAATAATTCTTATAATGGTCTCGAAATAAATGAACCAATCAATATCGAGTAATCTCATAAAATAAGTCGAACAATTTGTACAGAATAATAATAAGCTACGAATCTTGAACGATTTTATTCTTTTAAGTTTCTTTCGAAGAGGAACGCTCAAAGTCGAAAGATTGAACTTTTTGTTCGAATTTTATGAAACATGAGCATCGTCGCCTTTTCCTCACCGCTCTCTAATTTTTATATTGATACAAGAGTATTCAAGTATCACTTTATTTAACGCTGAACAATTTGTTATCCTTTTTTTCTTTTATAAAAAAGATTTTTAAACGTAGACAGATAATCTTCGTCGTTTGATACAAATTTTCAATTTTTGCAAATTTCCAAAACTATATAAAATCTAAAAATTAAATTGATAAAGAAATTAGAAATTAGTTTGAAAATTCGTCTCGAAAATTCATCTACGTTGATGAATTTTTATGTTTTAAAAAAAAATTTGAAAAAAAAAACCCATCCGAAAATTAAAAATAAAACATAAAACAAACGTGCAATTCCATTTTTAAAGAATTATGGAGAACGATTATTCTCTCCCCGATGTTTTCTCATTAACATCGGTGCACGTTCCAATTTTTCAAAAGCTACGTAATCGAATTGAAGCAACAGATGTCACGTATAACCTGTTGCGAATTTTCTTGTCCAAACACTCGGTTTCGTGATGCTCCACTCCGGACAAAATCGATGTCGACATACTGAAATCGTATCGTTTTCGATTTGTAATTCCCGTCTATTCGCGCATACAACACTTTATTAGAATGAATTTATCGAATTTATCGAGACAGAAAATGGATTTCAACGAAAGTAGAAGATAAGAAATAAAGCAATTTTACTTCATTTTATACCGATAAATATATATAAATTATTTCTCGATAATGCATACTGAAGTATACTGAGCGATTGGTAGAAAGAAATGATTCTTAAAGATCCCGAGAGTATTCTTTTATAATCTTTAATATTGAATGAAATAATGTTGAATATTGTGAAAGTGATTGTCCACTTGATAGATAAAAATATATAATTCTCTCGAAATGTTTTATTTTAAAACGTATTCCTGTCTTCTTAGA